AAGACATAACTATTGTGGGGAAGCTCTTCCACGGGTAATAATAATCCGTCAAAGAGGCCATAAAATGCTTCTCTTCTACTTGGAAGGATCGTGAGCACTTAGATATGGTTTGGTAGGGAACATAGGGGCAGAATATCAGGGACAAGGTATCTTCCAACCATATTAAATATTGTCAGCATGCATAATTGCCATTTGAACACACAGCAAAAGCAAAAGAAATAATTTGTACAGCTAGCATATTAAAAGGGAAAGTAGCGTTGCAACTTGGAAAACAACAGGTGAAAAATGCCACAGTAGATTTATTCGGTCATTAAATCTAACCTACGTAACATTAGTCATAATCATATGAACAAAACATAAAGACATCCTGTACGATTTTTGGCAAAAGTCCATGTCATCGACGGTTTGGTTTTGGCAGTAACGGAAGATAGTTGGCGTTACCCCTTCAAACCGTCGCAGAATCTCAGCCTCGGTCCACTCGCCGCTACCAGGATCTAGCATCCCCAGTTTAACAAACACACACTTAAGGAAGCATTTGAGACAAGAATCGTCTGGATACTCGGTGTAAGAGAAGACCCTACGTCCGACGCCTTCGTCGACGCCCGTGGCACAAATGCATTCACTGATTACCGGTGCTGTCGATAAGATCCACGAATTTTTGATGCCTTCGGGAATTACCTAAAATTATCGGTGTTATCGTGATGGTTTTGGTAATGGTAGTCACACACCTTTACCGAAATTGAAATTGTCACCAGTGATAATGTTAGAGTTATTAGTCGCATACTGTACAAATAATAACTCACCGTGGGATATTTATTATTTCAACGTCCTGTAAATATAACAAGACGTGAACAAATTTTATTAGCTATTCGCTTGGAAGCACAAAGAGAGTTATGTTTTGTTAGAGAACGTGACTGAAAATTTAAATTGGTTTGTTTACCGCTGTGGAAAAGGTCATGACCATATTTTTTGAGGGACACCAAATTTGTTTTGGAATCTCTGGATGAAACAAAGTATGTTAATAAATTCAGCCAATTTAGAACACACCTCACAGGAACAGCACAATTTTCAAGTACCTCGAGATACCATAGCTTGTTTGTAGTCACTTTTGCTGTCATTTCATGATCTTGAGGAAAAACGAAAACATTTTGCATGGCCACTTACACGAACACTTGCTGAACCGGACGCAGATGCAATTCCCCCATCTCTGAGCTTTTGGCTTTCCATGAAAGTTCCATGAAAGTTCAGTATCTCTAGATGACCCACCCTGCATTACATTTCCGTTTATGCCAAGATTTAGACAAATCCCACTTCCGATTCCAAAAATCAACCATAATAGTGGAAAGTCATGCCTCCCCTCTCTCCACCACTAACTAAAAGCTCAGCACGGAAGCACTCTTACAGAGTGTTCTTGTAAGTTCAAAAATGACAAAACCACCAAAGGTCGTGGTGCAGGTTATCTAAAATTCACCTTTACCACATAATGAATTACTGGACATTTTTCTGTTAAAAATATATACATCTCTGAATGTTACAAAAAAAATTATATTCAACCAAGGGAACGGTATTACTGAAAATAAATGCAATTTTTCAATCAATGAAACAAAATAACCAAAAATTCAGTTTGAATTCGATTTGTATTAGTAAATATCTGTTTCATGCAAATAATTCTCACGGTTCGATTTCTTTAGGAATATTAAAATTACTTCAAACAAAATTCCTTATGCAAAGTTGATTTTTTTGCAGCACCCTGGTAATGTTGTTTTTGTGATGAGTGCAGCGTTTTGCGGAAGAAAAAGTTCGTATGTATCGCTAGTTCAAGCAAGTCAGCTTCAATTTCGCGAAAGTAGATTTGTTGCGCGCAGATTGGCCAGTGTGGCGCACTGGCGAGGAAGCCCGACTGCGGCACAAAGAGTCCCCGGGTTCGGGCATGATTTTGTAAATGTATAGTGGGTTGGATTGGCAGAGCAGCCTTTGGCTGAAACCCCACTAACTTAAAAGTAAAGCCGAAAATAAAATTGTCTTTAAATTCCCTGCCGTATGCTGTTGTATATAAAATTTTATTTATTGCAGGAAGTGCTGTCCGAAGACGTCACTCTGATTTAAGGAACTTGTTTTGACTAGCCATTACCATTAGCCGAACCAATTGTTTATCACATTGAGTTTATTTAATCTCGATTTGTATTTGAAAAGCGGCTCTCCGATTTTATCACTCAAATAAAAAACCTTGCTGGGGGGGGAATTCTCTAGAGATAAAGAGCAGAATGCAACTGTTGTTTACAAGAGGGAGCACTTACCTATTTATATTTAGCCAAAAACGGAACCAACGGCATTTCTTCGATCGACGTCCCTTTATACCAATACCGGAAAGGGGCGAATGCCTCCTAGCTGTTGAGACGGACATGTGCCTAACACGGCCGGAGATGAGCCTAGGGAGTAAACGACGAAAAGTATGTGGTCCAAAGTGTTTAAGAAGAAGGTTATAAAATCACCGGAACAAAGGAAAGCGGCGACGGAAAGAAAAAGAGGTAGAGCGCGAATTCAGGGAAGGAGAAGAAAACCATTGCGTTATTCATCGATAAATTGATGGAAGGAGTACAGGAGAAAATGAGAACGGCTAATGAGACAAAGAAGCAAACATATGAAATGAAAGAGAAGATGCCAGAGGAGGATTAAGGAAAGAAATGGGAAGAGTAATGGTATAAGGAAAAAGGAAAGGATAAAAAACTCGAAGAAGAAATTAAGAGAGGAGAAATAGGGTTATGGTAGGAAAAGGGGATATGCATAGATGACATATGAAGAAAGAATAAGAGTCCAAAGAGGAATTAGACAGGTTGCGCAAAGGGAAATAGGAACGGGGAAGAGAGTAAGATGGTGATTAGATATGGGTAACTATTATAGAAGATGAATAATACAAATGGAGACAAAGGATGAGTGAGAACAGATTTGAAAAGAATGCGAGAGGGAAGGGCAGGGGTTGGAGGGAGAAACTAACGGTAAAAGAAGAGATAAATGGCGAGAGAGGGGAGGGGGTACAGACACAATCAACGGAAGAAAAGAAAAAATCGAGATAAACATGGAGACGGGCAACATGAAAATGATATTATGGAATTTAGAGGGGGTAGCTCAATTCTGGGAGTTTGTAAAAGGATATGATGTTCGTGGGGATGGTAGAATCATGGGGAGAAAATGAAGAACATAATATGGAAGAATCAATTTTGAAAAGAAATTTAAAGGGAATAGCAAAAGGAAGAATATTAACAAAGGTAAAAAAGGAATAAGAGAATGGAGGGATGAAACGAAAAAAATAAAAGTAGGGGAGGAGGGGATTTTAATGCCAGAATAGGACTCAAAGGAAAATGAGTAGAGACGGGAAGAGGGAACACGAGATACAAAATCAAGAGATAAACAGTGCAACATAGACAGATCGATGTTACGACAGTCATCAGAAAAGAGAGGCTGGAGAATTTTCAACGGGAATATGGAGGGAAATGGGGACGTGAAATTCACATACATGGGAGGAAGAGGGAGGTCGGTAATTGACTGCACAATAGTAAATGGAAAAATGCTGTAGGGAGTAGATGAAAATAGGAACAAGAGTAGAATCGAATCATAAATCGATGGAACTGAGTTTAAAAGGGAAGATAAGGAAACCAAAAAATGAAAAGACGCAAAGACGAACGAAGATGCAGTTATGGGCAAGGGATACTGTAAAGGTGTATAGAGGGAGACCAGAGGAACAGGGAGAAGAATTATGAGGGAGTACAGAGGGTCTAAAGAAGAGACAAATAGATATAGAGAAATGATGGGGAGAGAAAGAAGAGAGGAAACAGAGGCGAGATAAAAGAAACAGTACAAAAGAAAACGTAACAAGAAAAAGATAGAGAAGCAAAAAGAATACGAAGAGCAAACCAGGGAAATAAAAACAGAGAAGGATTTTTCGAAGGTGATAAACAGAGGAAAAAAGATCATGTGGGAGAGAAATGCAATTAGAGGAATAGAAACAACATTTAGTCAAGATGCTACAAGGAAATCAAGAGGGGGAGGAGGAGGCTATTGATGAGGTACGAAGGGTGGACGTTGAAAGATATGAAATAACAAGAGAAGAGATCGAGCAGCAAATAAAAAAGCTGAAGAAGGGAAAGCGACAGAGAGAGAGACGAGATAAGAAATGAGGCATGGATTTTCGCCACAGATAGGATCAAGGAAAGGATGAGGAATTGAGTAAACAAGGTATGGAAAGTAGGGGTTTACCCAAAGAATGGCAGGAAGGGGTAATAGTGCCGATTTTCGAAAGAGGCTGCAAATACTACGTAGAAAATTATAAGAGGATCACCATATTGACTACGGAATGGAAGATTAGAAAGAGAAATGGCAGAAAAGAGGAGGTTGGAATCAAATGGGTTTCGGAAAATGGAGGGGAACGATCGACTGATTATACCTATTACACAGATTGGTGGAAAGGGAATTGGATAATAGGGCTGAAAAGATTTTGTGTTTTTCATGGACCTGGAAGCGGAGATATAGTGGCCAGGGAAGAATTATGGAATATGATGGAAAATGGGAGAATAAACAACAAGTTAAAGGACAAAATATTAAGCGAAACCAGATTGTCGGTAAGTATGGAAGAATGAAGTGTTTTGCACATGCCCAACCTTATCTAATCTCCGAATAAGAGACATGGAAAGGTATTGGGGAGAAGAAAGGTATAATCACTGGTATACGCGGACGAGGCAATAATAATGGCAACAGAAATAGAACAAATGAAGGAAATGAAGGAAAGAATGGAGAGATATTTTGAAAGTTGCAGTTAAACGTAGAAAAGTCGAAGATGATGAGTTTTGGGAGGGGGATTGGAAAGAGAAGGGAGATAAGTAGTGATGATGGAAATTAAATGAATAAATATAAAGAAATAAAATTCTTAAAATTCACATTGTTTTCAAGCACTCACGATCTGCACCACGAAAAAAAGAATAAATAAACATCACGTTCAAGGAGAATCCAGCTACTACGTGAATGTGGCTGGAATTAGTAAACAAAGTTATATTGAGTGGCACGATCAAAACAGATTATGTACTTGAAGCGGTGCAATAAGTCTCCCTTGTCAGTAAATATCTAAACAATGTCATATAAGACACAATCTGCTTTATTCCGCTATATTTTGCATCCTCAGCCATGAGAATTTTGGTGACGTTATCCTTTATCACTCTGGTAACTGCAGTCAGGGTAAGTACAATGGGCCCACTCTATCCCATTCTGTTTAATAAGCTTTGTAGATCGTCCCGATGAATTTGCGAAAATCTTGGGTCAAGCTAGCAGCGCCGCACTACACGTATTGCCTTTGCAAATCCGACGTTAAAGAGGATTACGCGTCTCGCGTTTTTTTGTATACCGAATTTCCGAATGATCGTCGCCTAAAGAGATATCTTGAATGCATTTCAATGAAGTTAAATTTGATGGAAGCGGCAACAGGTGCCTGGAACGAAAAAGAGTTTATTCGACAGGTCGGGGGAGTCACCGCCAAAATTATCGCGATGTGTAATGAGGACGGGAAGGGGGAAGTTGATTTGCCGCAAAAAGCCTACAATATGTTCCTTTGTATTGCCGTTACGTTGGCAGTTGACGAAAAGTGGGACAGAAGACAAAGCGACAGGAAGGAGTTTGAGGGAAAGATCTGCCTTTAGATTGTTCCGCGTATGAAGCTTTTGTCAAAATTTGTACACAATCACTTTTCTCAAAATTACATGAGGTGTAATCTGTAAATCATATCTAAGCATAAGCCATTTAATTTAAATCAAAAGTGAAAACTACGACAGTACTATATTGTACCGAAATTGCAGTCGCCAATGCGACAAGGATATTATTTTAACAGGAACAGTCCGTCATATCCTCGAAAGGGGTAGGGTTTAATTAATGTTGTTAATTGTTAATTATAATTTTCATTACAAATAAGTTATTAAATAAATAATCGTTTCTAACTAGTTCGTTACAATTGGTGTCAGGTGTGGGGTTAAATAAATTAGGTGATTTAGTGGGCGTGCATGCCTATCGTGGCCAGATCTTTTTGTATTAATGGGAATAAAGAAACTTATTTATTTATTATATACAATATCACCAACAAAATTATGTTGGTATACCTGGATAGGTTTATTGTAGTCTGTGGTATCAGTCTGTTGCCCACATCAAGATGGCAACCAGAGTTGGACTGGGTCAAGCATAGAGTGACCCAGTGACCCGGTGACCCAGTTAGTTTACTGACCCAGTGACCCGGTGACCCAGTGACCCGGTGACCCAGTTGACCCGGTTACCCAGCTTGACCCGGTGACCCAGCTTGACCCAGTGACCCAGTTTGACCCAGTGACCCAGCTTGACCCGGTGACCCAGTTTGACCCGGTGATCCAGCTTGACCCAGTGACCCATCTTGACCCAGCTTTACTCAGTGACCCGTCTTGACCCGGTGGCCCAGTAATTAAATTATTGTTAGGTATCATCCAAAACAATTTCAAGTAACTTTTAATTTAAAAAAAAAACTTCCTCAATAATATTCGGCAACAAGCACGTAGCCCAATTTCATTCAAGAGAACTAATACCTAAAAAAAATCAAATGCATTTGTTTATAGTTTGTAGTCAAGCAGTCAATGAAAGTATTTAGAAAAAGATTTATTTGGATTAAGCTAACTAGTAGAAAAAAATTAAATGTGAATGAACACCTGTAAGCAAACTGGTAAGCCCTGAAGCAAAGAAATAACATTATTCTAATACAATTCGGGACATGGAAAGCTTTTTACGGCAGTATTAAAGCAAACATCACAGAAATGGCAGTTGTCAAGCAATCGAGTATTATTTTCAACAAACCAGCATTTCATTTATTGCATAATCTGTACACTTGAACCGAGGGCACTGACTTAACTGCGTTATTCGATCAAAATAGGTGACTGGGTCGAATTGGATCCCCGGGTGAAATTGGGTCGCTGGGTCAAACTGGGTCACTGGGTCAAACTGGGTCAAACTGGGTCAAGTTGGGTCACTGGGTCAAACTGGGTCACTGGGTCAAACTGGGTCACTGGGTCTAACTGAAAAGAGTAGGACGTGACCCAGCGACCCAGTGACCCAGGTGACCCAGTTGACCCAGTGACCCAGTCCAACTCTGATGGCAACGACATTCGTCACTACCAGTGTGGGTGTTAACCCCGGCGAGCCACTTACAATCGTCACTACCCACCGAAACACGAGTCACTTTACGATTATTTAGGTGTCTGTATGGGAGTCTCTTTATCCGTCACTCGGGAACGCGTCCGATGGATGCCTTCACCGCACGGAATGTCACTATAATCGCATAAACTCTAGGATATGATGGATGTTGATTAAGCTGATAATAAGGCGTGTGAACGCGTCTGTATACAACCGAATACTAACAGGAAATTGAAGACATTTTCATGGTCCAGGTTCGGAGCCTTGGTGAAAGGGTCTCGGTGCCCAAGCAACACAGTTCCGTATAAAAAGCGTTTATTGTAGAACTAAAACGTTTATTTATCTACCTATTTTCCACGTTTCTTATACCAGTTTCGTTAGATTATGACATAAATAATACGCAATTTTGATACGTGGAATATGCCTAATTTTTATTCGTATTTTGGAGGAAGTAAATATGCCAATATTCCAGCATGGTAAATCAAAGTGGTATTATATACGTTTATCCAATTATTGCTAAAAGAACGTTTATTCATATACATATTATCAACGTAGAACGTGAACTTTATGGCTTACATATAGGAACAAAAATCGTTTTTTAAACGTGGGAAATAACATTGGTCTACAAAAAAACGTATACCATACTACCAATACCGAATTTATCCTTTCAAAACGCTTTAAAACGGTTTATTTAACGTAAGTGTGTTGGCTGGTTGACGTAACTTAGGAGTCAACTTGTGTGGTGACGCAGGTCGTGTTCTGGGATTTCTCCCGTGGAGAAAGCTTTGGTGAAGGGTATTTCCAGGGGACGTAGAGCTTAAGTGGCCTCGATTTTGGTGCAAACTCGTGCCTGGGCTTTCCCGTTGATCTTGTTTGTGTTTTAGAAAGAATTTCCGCGTTTAAGTTTAAGTTTATACAGTTCAAGCTCCGGGCTATCTCAAAATATTCACACGAACGATAAAAAGAGATAATTGATTGTCAGAAAGCGTTCAGAGAAATTAACGGAAGTGAGAAAAGAGTTCCAGAATTGGGAATAGCTCTACCTTGTGCATCGCCACGTCACTTGGTGTCGAAGAAATCCAACGAGTGGAGACCGTGCAGAGACTACTGGACAAAGAACGCCAGAACTGTATCTGATCGATACCCAGTTTCGCAAGACTTTTCACAAGAACATCCCGAAAACAGCTATTCCCACGCCCTTCGGTCTCTTCGAGTTTCCGATCATGACGTTTAAGATTACGCAACACAGCACAAACCTTCCAATGTTTCATGGACAACATGCTACGCGACTTTTTTGTTAGGCGTACATCGATGACATCCTAGTGACTTCGAAAGACGCAGAACAAGCCGAACACGCCTCAGGCAACCGTTCCAACGCTTGGTTCACTACAGAGATTATCAACGCCAGCAAATGTTGTTTCGGAAATCAATTAGTCCGTTTCCTGGTCTTCAGGTCACACGCAATGGCACACGACCCATGGAAAGAAAAATACAGACCATGTCCCAACAACTGCGGGTATTGTGCTCAACAAGAAGCCGAGCACACTGGGGCAATTGATGACGATTGGGTTCCCGAAGCATTTCGGCACGTTCAGGACAGGGATCTCGATCTGCAACACAAAGTGCAATGAAAAATTGCAGACAAGAGACCCTTCTGGAAAGAAGCGGCAAAGTTTAGCCCCACTATAAAAGCATATTGGGCTCAGTGGGACTCGTTGAAAACACAAGATGGTCTTGAGTAGAACGACTATTGCATTGTAAATAGTTACTCCCCAAAACAGGATGTCGGAAATTCTGATTTTTATACCTTTCGTCCGTTGGGTGAAAGTTAAAACTTTTCCTCACACCTTGCTATTTCTAGATTGTGCGCGCCATTTAGAACCAATTCTCCTGATCTGGCAACGTTTAAAACGATTGAACGTGTTACTGAAAAAACTTGATAACCAACGCATCCATACACTAAACCACATTATGATGATTGTGTGTTTTCCCTGCATTCAGTACGCCACAATGGGTGCAACAGCAAAGGTATTATCTACTTTTCTCTGTTTGATTACCACGTGCATAGCATTAAATTATGTATGTATACACCATGATATTTCAAACAGACTGATTATAACCAATAACCGTTCAGATAGTTCCAGAGAACCTTCGAGTAGCATGGTATGGTATAGTAGAACCACACGAAAACCCCTGCATTTGTGAAACGCGCGTCGACCTAAGATTTGCTCGAAGCATAATTTTGAAAACCGAATTTCCCGACAACTCTCGTTTGAAGTGCTACATGGGATGTACAGCGGGTCGTATGAATTTCCTCGACATGGCCACGGGCGAATGGAGCGCGAAGGAGATTAATCGACAAATGGCAGGTGTCACGTACAAGCTTGCAAGTAATTGCATCAATCAGACAGCAGGAGGATCAGATTGGTGTCAGAGATCTATTGACATATTTATGTGCATTGTTTACGGTGTTACCGTTCCAGTAATAGATTACTGATATGCCAATAGACTCAGTACACCTTATCTGGATGGAGTTGGTTATTTATACAAGTAGTATATTTAGTCGTGCTTTCACTGCAAATGTACCCAAGTAAAGTAACGATCTATCTACAAACATCATCTATAATTACTTAAGTAGTGATGCACACTACACCACAAAGAGTTTCTTATAATAAGTAAAACGTATCAATCGCAATTTCTTCTTTCTAACAATCCGTAAGACAAATTACCAAACTAAATACGCAATTCGTCACTGTTTGTGTTCCAGAAGAACGGGGTTATTTCATTGAGCATGCAGTAACATTATTCCGTCATTCAGTTAGATCCATCGCCGAACGGAATCTACATGAGCTCCGAGCAATATAAAAGGATCGCCCAAAGGAATTTTGCCGTAACTATCCTTTAATGAAAAATACTTTAATACGGATGCGGATGTTCTCCGATACCGCCTAAAAGAAGTGAATAATCAGCGTGTTTGCAACTCGTAGAAATCTGGTGGAGGTGTAGGTAATGCAACCTAAAAATGTTTCCAGTGCGGTTGCTCTCATTGTAACAAGATGTTCATATCGAAATGTGGTTTAAGTTGAATTAAAATCGCTGAGGGACGTTCATTATCACACGTTTACTTTCTGCTCGTATCATATCATAGGGTTCTGAAACTGTGAAATTGCCTTAAAATTTCCTTCGCAGAGATATCAAGGTAGCAAAAAACTAACATAAAATCACGCTCTTAGGATAGCCTCGTGAGAATATTCACTCATTTGGACTTTCGGTAGTGATAGTAATACAATCTTCTATACGGGGTGGCACAAGAAACGAAACGGACTCAATAACTCGCAAGGAAAACATCTTTTACTTCAAAATCTACACACCTGGTGGTAAGCAGGGTTGAGGTCCCTTTAATAATTTTAAATTGAACGTTGGGTCAAGTGACACATCATTAGGGAAATGGTCTTAATTTCCTACACGCTTATGGTTTAGTCTTTTCTGTTATAGTGTGCAATAAAATTGAATTGTAGGATAAGCCAAAAAAATACTATGCTACATTGTGACCTTTTGTTAATAAATAGTTGCATGGCTCGCGTCAAACTGCTAAAACCTTTTGTACAGCTCAAGACTTCAAAAAGGGTAAGAAAAATTGTTTGGAAAAGCACTTTAAAGCATAAAAATTTGTTCATATAGTAATTGAAATTTAATATATGGTTGAAACATTTTGAAATTTGAACTTACCTTAATTGAGCGTTTTCAACAACAAAATTTGCGGAAGAAGCCCGAAATTTTCTACAATCTGAATAAGAAGTTCAGTTCATTTCGTCAAATGTGAAGTTATGTTACTTCATATCAGGATTATTTTTATGTTATGGGAGTGCTTTACTTCAAGCTCTTAAGAGGTTATGTTAACATTTTTCGACGATGTTTTGCAGATATTTCGTTTAAAATATTAGACAATGTTGATGGAATACCATGCATGTGTGTGTAATTATATCACAGTAGCAGTTATTTACATGTTTTACATAATTCATGTGTAAATTATTTACAGAAGAGCAGCATTTTATCCATGCTTCATAATTATAGTATTTTACATTATTAGCCAGGTAAGTGAGTTTTTACTGGCGATAGGAGAAGTTGACTGGCGAGCCGTCAGACGAGACTGTCATCTCCTAGAGCCAGTAAAAACTATTACCTGGCGTATAATGTTCAATATTTTATTTGTTACTCATTTATAAACAATAGTAAACGTAAATAATTAGTTCTTAAATTGATCTTGAAGAAATGTCTAAAATATCATGTTATCCATGTAACAGAGACTTCGCATTAATTCTGTCCAATCGAAATTACTAGATTACTGACTTGTAAAATTTTTACAGGTCAGCTGTCAGTTTTACAAGTCAGTAGCGTTTAAACATGACGTTTACCCGTTTGCGTTTTATCTTGTTAATCAACGTTTACAACTGAGTAACAAATAAAAATATTTACAAATTCAACACATGACATAACTATATTTTAACTCGTTTCATTAACTCAACAGAACGAGAACTCGGTGCGAAAAACACAGCCCATGGATGATGCAAGGATGCCCCTTCCCCTCACGGTTGTGCAAGGCTGTCGAGGTTAATCGGCGGTTCATAGGAAAAAAGTGTTCGATACAGAAAAGGCGGTCCACAGAAGTGTCCTTCCTCTTCGGATGTGGAATGAGGTCGAGCCTAATCGGCGGTTCATACGGAAAAAGCGTTCGATACAGAAAAGGCGGCCGAGGGAAGATGCGCGAGGTGTCGTTTCCTCTCGGATGTGGATGTGGATCGTAGCTCGGGGTCCGTATAAATCAACCTACTCTTTGGTATAACGCTATACAGGGTGGTGACTTGCGTAACGCATCATAGGGATTTCAATGTAAAATTCATAACATGCGATTATTGGCTCCCCAAATTATTTTAGAGCAAAAATGTATTAAGATTTTTTGTAGAAAAAATTTGTTTACACCAATCAACCGTATTAGTTTTCAATTTTTTTCATGTAAAGACGGAGAATTGGAAAAATAAAACCCGCATCTTTCTCAATAATCTGCGATGTCATGGAATTTTCTAAAACAAAAAGATACTTATCCAGTTATCAATTAGCAGCAGTTCGACATGGGTTTTATGATCGACTGGGTTACTGTATTGCAGTTAATGGTGACTTATTCGAACATTTATTGTAAATTGTTATATCAGGAAACCGTTTTTAGTAATTTGGTCTTTCCTTATGTTGAATTCGCTGTTCTAAATATAATACTTTTTGATAAAATTTGATTTGTTTTATAGCAGACATTCCATGGCATGACGGATATTGGCGTAGTTGTTGTATTATAAAATTCCATGGCATCAAAGATTATTGAAAGAGATGTGGGTTTTATTTTCCAATTTTCCGTCTTTATTATGCAAAAAATTGAAAACTAACACGGTTGATTGACGTAAAAAATTTTTTTCTACAAAAAACCTTAATACGTTTTTGCTCTAAAATAATTTGGGGAGCCAATAATCGCATGTTATGAATTTTACATTGAAATCCCTATGATGCGTGACGCAAGTCACCACCCTGTATACCCATCATTTGATTTAATTTTAATACAGTTCATATTCGAACATTCGGTCTGAATCGAGTCGGATTGACCGAAAAACTATTAAAAATTGGTGAGCACAAAATCACAAGATTTCCTAGGAAGAGGACGAGTCAAAATCGTTAATTTGTTGTTTGAGGCGATTTGTTAGGAGTTTGTCGGGAAACGAGTTGCAATTTGTGCTAATTTGTTCGATAATTTGGAATTGAATTTTTCGCGAGTTTTGATAAAAATGCAACAGCTCAATAGAAAACGTGAAGATATCCAAGCCAGAATCATGAAAATTGCTTTAAACTTTAAACAATAAACAAGCTTTCAGGTTTTTGATGAATACCTCGAGATTACTACGAAAATTGCTGAGGAAAATGAATTGGCTGGGAAAAAGTTTGCTGAAGAAATTGCTAAGATATTTGATGAGCAGACGGGTCATTGGGAAGCTTTTTAGCGCCATCTCTCAATTGATGTGAAACTATTAGGAGTGGGAAATTTAAAATTATACAGGTTTATCCTTCGTAAAAATGAATCTGAAGACA